GGAATGACGCAGAAGCTGTTTATCGATTTGTTTATTGTAATGAGCCATTCTAAAGCAAAGGCGAGGGCGAGGACGACAACGAAGGCTGGTAAGTTTGTCATCCGTGTTTTTAACGTACCTTTGTAAGCCTGGTCCACTATTCCCTTAGTTACGTTCTACATTTCTACATTATTAAGTAGTTGAGCTTTAACTCTAATGATTTCAATAAGCATCTGGCGAATCCTACTTTTCAGCACAGTAATCCCAAATATATTTATCCGAGTGACACCGCACTAGAAATACGTTTACGTTACAGAAATGTTTCCAGATCCACTTAACGTTTCTCGGATTCGTTGTGCAATCTAAGGAATCCGATTTTTTAGATCCAATGCAAAGCCAGATATAAGATGATTTCTATTCATTTGCAAAGACAACAGTCAGAAGGCGCCCTGCTAAAAATAAATTTGCTAATTCCTTAGGCCGTTTGACCTCATTTGGTCCTGCATTCTTTCGTTAGTTGTTTTTCCCAACGTCACTTCAATTTTAATTAAAAAGTTCAAATTTGTAAGCCCACGATAGTCCAATCTGGAACGTCATGCGCTTTCTGTTTCCGTAAAACAGGAATCTGGTATTGCAATGCAGGTTATAGCTTGTTTCACTTGTTGTTAAATTAATATGCATTGTCGACAGAAGCCATTTGGGTTCCTCGAGTTTCTAGATACGATATTTCCACATTACGTAATATTTCAAAAGAATGGAAATTGAGAAATGACATCTCCAACATCAACAACAACAAAATTTTATTCATTTAAATGAATGCGCGGTAGGTAGGTAAAGTCTGCATACGAGCCAAGTGGCCGATCAGGCCGGAGCTTATCCCGGCTTCCGTAGCATGAAGTGACTCGGAGTATTTCCACTTCCCCATGGATGGGATGGTAGTCCATCGCAGGGTTACCCCCAGCATTAAGTTCGCAGGTACCCATTTATACACCTGGGTGGAGAGAGGCACTGTGAGAGTTAATTGTTTTGCCCAATAACACGACACAATGTCCAGGCTAGGGCTCGAAGATCCGGAAGCGAGCGCACTAGCCATAAGGCCATAATCAGTTGGTCCGCCTGATGAATTCGTAAATCTCGACTAATTGGCACCATTTGTTGTAGCATTCTTTGGTGCTAATTTTCACAGCATTTTACTTGAATGCATGTTGTAGTCCGTAAGACAAATGGCGTCTTCGTTTTGAGCAAAGACTGAGAAAGGAGACTTAGGAAAGGAAACAAGAACGCTATATATAAATTTGGAAGGTAAGAAGTCGCAAAATGGATGTCAGCTAAAGACCGTTGAAATTAGCAATAATTTTCATCTAACATCCTTCGCCGAGCAATTGAAAGCTGATATAATTCCTTCAAGAAACAGTATAAGCAGCATCTCTTACATTTAAATGCTTAAAAAATGGTTAATCACAGTCACTTGTAGCTATGTAACTTCAGTAAAGCATTCTTCTGTAATGTACTTTTGTTCTAACGCACTTAGCTTAACATGGTGGTAACCAAGCTCGAAAGCCTGGCAATAGCTACTCTGGTCATAGTTAATAGAGGGAAATAGTTATGAAACTCGATAAAGTTCTTTGTTGTATGTTTTTCAGTGTTCTCTTTCTTGGCCTTGACCGTGCACAAAACACGACGGTTGTTTACCACTGACCAAGGAACTAGCCAATAGAAATGTTTTGATTACGTAACTCGTGCATAGTGTATGAGCGAAAAACAAAAGATTGTGCAAAATAAATCTTGGCATCTTTGATGTTTGCCGGGCTTCATAACCATTCCGCTCTATTAACCATGCTCTGGTTACCACGCACATATCTTTTTATTCCTTTCCTTAACCATATGAAAAAAAGTATTTCTCTTTTCATATTTAGTTTATAATACTAATGTAAACTCTGTAAATAGTGCACAATAATAAAGAAATTGAAGCTGAGGTTGAAGAGCGTTACATAACAGTCGAGCCGAGTTCGTCAGTCATGGTCATTATATAGGTAAATTTTTTGGCTGGTGTTACTGAAGAAAACAGATGAATTTGAGTAAAAGCATTGGATTCCGACATATGGGTGTCCCTGAAGTAAAGCAGTTGTAAAGAATGGTTATTGCACATCATTTACTCTTGTCAATATCCCAATATTCTAATTGTTGCGTTAGTTTGTGAATATGTATGGGGATTATAATAAACGCCTAACAGGCATTACAACCAAATTAGGCATCAGCTCATGTATTCGTTTCATGTTTACCCCTCACGTGTATATGAATGCATGTGACTGTAGGGTTTTAATATACAGATATGAAAGAGCTATTCGAAAGAAAACACGAGATCAAAAAATAGCCAATTTTGACTGCGCACTTCAGATCACGCTTTAAAATATGCAAAGCCTAATTGCTCAGTTTCCAAAAGAGCTCATTTTTGTTGAGATTTGTTAAGAAAACTTCCAAAAGCAACATAAAATTCAACGTTCCAAAACAGACAACAACAAATTCGGGTTAACAGGCGTTTTCGTAGTCGACTGAGAGTGTTGCCTTTTTCCTTTCAATTTGACAACAGAGGCATCTGGTTGAATACTGAGCAGGTTGGCACTTTTATATTGATTGTAAAGTGCTAAGTATTCCACTGAAGCGAATGATTGGTCGGTGTGAACATCACAGGTGAAATAATGTCTTCATTAGACGCGTAGTTTGACTGATCCGACTTGTCAACACAAACTTAGGAGTTGAAATATTATTACCAGCACACATCAGCTTAGCATTCATTTACTATTCACTAGTCGACTAAAACCTTTACCGGCAGTAATCGATTACGGGTTTGAATTGCCTTTGCGGCATACTTTTCGGTAGGTTTCACCTGTTAGCAGTTTTTTATCATTTTTATTTTTTGTTTTCATTCGATTCGCATCCGCAATGCAACCATCTCCGACCTCATCCTCTTTTTTTTTTTTTCATTAATTCGTAGAAAACACGACTGCAGCTGTGCCATTACGGTCCCATCTCCACTTTCTGAACACGGGCGCAGAAAGCTCCATGGTTTGCGCTCGAACGTAAAGCTACACTGCCATCGACTGCCCGCAGATACACTACTTTACCTGCACCAATCTGCGTGAGTTCTCATCTCAAGCTATCTCTTGAGAACATTGTACTCATTCAAGTCACCACTGATGGCAGGTGAGGTGGGGTATTAAAGGGGAATAAATGCACTTTGCACGGAGCATCTTTTTTCATTTCATCTTTTCTTACCACTATTCTTAGTTAAACAAGTCAGATTAGCTAGAGATAACGCTACAGACAACGCTGTAACGTTGTAGTTAGCTTTTTCTTTTCTATTTAACGCGGAGAAAAAAATTGCTGGATCCCGAAGTTGAAAACATGAAACAGTAAAATCTTCTAGTCTCGAAACACTGTCTCAAACACGAAATGCTCTACTCATTCTCCTCTATTAAAAAGAAATAAGCAAGCAAAGAAGGGCTTTACTTAAGCTTTATAGTTATTCCAAAACAGTATCTCTTTCCCAAATTGACTGTGAGTCGATGCGATATAAAAAAAAACATGACTACAAAACAGATATCATTTTCTTAAAAGATCCATTTCACTTTAATTTACATGTTGTTATTCCTGAAAATCTCCTTCTCAGCGAAATGTCTAGTTCCAGACCTGTGTTTCATGTTTTTACGAAAAAAAACATCTGAAATATTTCACGACGAACGAAAAAGCGTTTATTACCTTAATTTTTGTTTTGGTTCAAATAAGAGACGTTGTCATGAAGGAAAAGTGACCCTGGATTGTCGGCGTCGGTGGTTGTTCATCTGTGGCTCCCGTGGAGACCCATAATTGTACTAAGCCATAACTCATTGGTCAAACCCAAGAAAATTGCCATCGAAACGAGCAGGCAGTGTTATTATGCAGATTTCTAAAATTTCATTACGGGCACTCTTTATTGATCACCTGTCATGTTGGCAGACTTGGTAGCAATATATATGACTGACTGAAAAGCTTTTCAGGAATATTAAAAGCTCTTTAGACAGGGGGCGACTTAAACGCTCAGACGTTTCACCATCTAGATAAAAAACCATTGAAGAGTTGGGTTTATGTTTTATTAACAAAACGGACATGAATGCAGCTTAACTTTATTTCTGCATGACCCAATGTTAAAATAGAACATTACTAAACCACAAAACATGCTACGAACTCTATTAGTATCCAAAAAAAAAACAATATTCATAACACCATGACAATATGGTAAGGAGGTGACTAATCAATTACGAAAACTGGCATTTTTCCGAATGGGATTGGAAATGTGTAAATTTTTTATGACAAATTACTGTATTGATATTACGCGGCGTACGGGCTAGTCACTGCGAGAGGGCCGAAATCGCTACAACACTGACGCTAACTGAGAAGACAGCCAGGCAACCTAATTGCCGATTAGACAGACCTCAGAACAGAAGAGAAAAGGATTGCTCACTGAACTAGATGAAGCATAAGTTTTAGTTGAAAAAATTATCTTATGACGTGTACAGAGCAGCTGACATGATACTTAATAGCTTGACATGGTAAATCGGTTGCGACTGGTTAGGTAAGTGACAGTTACTGGAATATGAGTACGAATTTCAAGGTTAGTTTTCAGGAACTAGCAAATTATTGCCAGACTGACGATTATTTCTTTTTTATATCTAAACGACAACTGAAGATGGCTTATAATAGCTGGAGCTCGATTCATGATAATAATGAGTCATACAAATCATGGTTCCAAGAGAACTGCACAGGCGATGCGTATCTTAAATCGTAAGATTCCATCAGTAAGTAGATTACAAAAAAGTCTTTCAAAGAATTTCTTATTGGTTACAAGTCTGTTAACATATACTTTTTGGTCGAACCTTCGAAGCGAAGGGCTTGAGCAGCAGGATTAAACAATGACAATGGGTTGTATAGTACCACCCACAATTAAACAGGAAGTCTAAAACAGCATGAAGCACCTCTTATATTCACAATTTACAGAAGAACGAGAACATGTTTTGATGAGAAAGCACTCATGAAATGTTTCTTATTTATTGTGGTATGGAGAAACAATTCCGACAGTAAATTAACATACGTTTTTTGGCACAAACTCAGACGAAAACATGTTGTCAAGCAGTCGGTTGAACTCAAAACAAAAGCGTTTATTCTGGATCAGTTTCAATACGAATCACCATTCGAAGCCTTTTTGTTTGTTTGTCGTTTATTTAAGGCTTTGTTTTCATTATTACTTTTCTTTAACCGTTGCGGTGTATTCGGCACTGTAATTAAATGTAATTCACTTTGACGTATTACTGGCAAGAGAATATTGGCATGACTGATTAGCTCACGTCCCAGGCCAGGACCCTGCCACACTGTAGGACCCTGTAGAGCGGTAGATTTTTTCCAACTCTTTAGTTTGAATCAGTGCAGAGCTCAAGGTTCTCTTTTCATCTGTTTTTTGAAGGAAAACCCCATTCGTTTTTTAACTGAGAATATAATGATAAGTCTAACCAAACTAACGTGAAGTAATTACCACAGAACTAGTCTTGCGGTTTTCAGTTGTGAAGCACGATACATAACCAGCAAAGCGGTGCTACCAAACTCAATGTTAAGGAAGCGTGTATCATCATTTAAGGATCTCATGGATATACGACGGCAAACGGCAAGGATGGCGCCTATTAGAAAATGTGTTTAGCTTTTCTATGAGATTTCGTAGTTTTCTAGATCTCTTCTGTGTGTCTGCATATCTGTATGAAAACGTGACCCTGCTGAATACAAAAAAATTAGTACAAGTGGTTCACGTTCCCCAGAAACTTGCAAATTGGACATTTCTTGTTTTTTGATTTCCAAAGGACGGCTACAAAATGTTCAAAGGTGCATAATGCACGTGCAAATCTATTGTATCTTTCTCGCTGCCGTTGCCGTCGTCTTTGGCGTAAGGTTCCTATTATTAATTATGCACTGCGCTCATGGGCTTAGTAAAGGTATCTCAAGTTTGCTTCGCAGTTTCTATGGCAATGTTAGAAAACCTGTGAATCATGCTTTTACCTCTGCATCATTTTGAGTTATATGATATACTTTGAGAGTTTGCAATTGGAGAACGGATGCGACTCAAACATTAGAATTTTACGCTTCTTTATGCTCTCCAAACCTACCGCGTTTATCTAATCCGATAATGCTCACTAAAACATGGATTATTTGTTAAGTCGATGTTAATTCATTGCGATAATAATTACGATTATTCTTAGGCAAAATAGAAGGATTTACGAGGATCTCCTATCCTTTGCTTAATTAATGCCAGACGAAATTTATCCATTTGTTATTTAGTCAAGAAACAATAGACAACGGAAGCTGAAGAAAACACTTCATGTAGTATGTAAGCTTGCATTTCCGTTTATTACAATTTTTCTGCCGCACAATATTTTTAATTACAGCCCTCTCCGATTGCATGCTTACGTCAACAAGCTCAGTTTATCTACGGGGCCACGAAATTGCAGCACTGTTGTGACCCCGCATGTGCTAGCTTCTCATGTTGTTGGGCCAAAAAAATAGCGGCCATGCACTTGAACTATGCGTTGTCGCACGAACCGTCCTTTTGTGAGTCGAGGAGGAATGGGAAGGAGAAACTTACCATCACTGTGGTCCTGCTAAGCGTGAGAACAAGATTATTGATTGGCGATATTCTTAACATCTGATCACCAGTGATTAATTTAAGGCAAATTTAATACTCCTCTAACCTTGTCTCATTTTCCCAAGAATTTCAAGAATTTGCCTCCCATTTGAGGAAATTATCTGCCTAATACATTATGGTTTTTTCCTTTTCAAAATTTATTTACATTTTTTGCTGCCAGTCTCAATTTTCCATGTGATCAAAGCAAATATCATTTAAGCTATATGCGACCCCTTCCTTTACAACGGAAAACCTAAAAGCTTCAAGATCAATAAAATTAGTGATGTTTTTTCAAGCAATTGTTTTCTCTAATTACAAAAAGGCAGAATTATTTTTGGGAGTTGGTGCCTGTAGCAAGCGGTTCGCATAAAAAGTTTTGAATTACCTATCATGCAGATTGCAATCAACTCAGCCACGTTTTGACAATCGTTTAGGGCCATTTCACAGATGAAACTGCAGCAATCTTTTGTACCCCATCAGAGCATAATCGGGATTTATTACAACACGTTGAGTCAATATCAGCGCGCAGACGAAACACAGATTTTAAATTCTGCCCTAACAGATAGCGGTTTTGAACACGTTTAACGATTGGAGCTTATCGCCGTTGTACTGTTAAGGTACGTATAGTGCTTAATACGTTCGAACAAAAGAATCTTTCGGTGGACTTAGAGTACTTTAGACATGTATTTTAGCATCGTCAAATGAATAATAAAACCTTTTCTCGGGACGGCTTAAAACACTAAGCCAGTGAAAGAAAGCTGACATTTTCGAACGATGCGAATTGAAATGTGATAAATTTTTTATGAGAAGTAACTCTGCGGCCGTTCAGTAAGCAAGCAATCGGTCCAGATGTTATCGCCCTGAGTAACCATCGCTAAATAGCACGCGAAACTGCAGACTGTGAAGCACTTACACGTTGATTGCCTTTTACATATGAACAGGTAAGAAAACGAAGGACACGTTTCGCTAGATAGAAGTTATCGGCTCATTTTGCGAACCAAGTATGTCCAAATTGAATAGCACTATCAAATGTCGAGGGCACACGGACGAATCTGAATCTAACTCCATCCACATGATCGTGGGTGTTGAAACTTGGTTCAGTCGTGCGACTTGAAGGCTCTAAATAGAGTGTCAGAAATTTTGATGAAGTGACTTAATACCGAATCGGTTAGTAGTAATGCAACCAAAGCGAACGGTGTGCGCGGTTAAACGGAGTATAATTACAAGGAGTCGTGTGTAGCCCACGCACACTAGGGAAAAAAAGGCTAAAAAAGTACGATGTAAATATTGAATTTTCAACCGAAGAATAAAACGGTTTTTCGCTTGCTAAAGCTTTCCTTATTCTTTGCCGCAGAGGTAAGCAACAGTTTCGTATCACGTCTATTAACTTAGTTATTCTCGCACATCTTTAGGCTATTAAATCATCAATCATATTTATGAAAAGAAAGTCAAAAATAAAAATTTTGGTCTGGTTTTTTTTTTAATAAGGTCTAACAGTTTTACTGATCCTTCAACATTATTCACGATTGTTTGCTTTGTCTTAGTTATTACTTCGCTGGATTTTCCCGATGCATTATTGACGCATCATTAGTGCACCACTAAGTAAGTTTTTGCTTTCCCGTTATCATGTCGAGTTTAAAAAAATTGAGCAGCCTGAAATATATAACATTATTGCCCGACTTGTCCGGCTGAGATAGGGCTGCAAGTGTTGAAAAAATTATACATTTACGTATATTATGTATTTTTTATTTTATTATTATTTTTTTAACTTCCTGCATGCAAGTCCGTGCCGGTTTCCGAGATACTTAAAACCGGTCGGACCTTCGATAGTCCCCCAAACACTGAAAGACGTTTTTTTTCTTTTGAATGCAGCTCCGCTGCAAATGAAGCAGATTTTTTTAATTAACAGTAGACTTATAAAACTAATCTGGAAACCCATTACGATCTCTTATTATTCACTTGAACTCGTGTGGATTTGAGTAGTTTCAATTTCAGCGTTTTCACCATTTCCCAATCTGCCATATACAGTATATACATTGGCACCGGCCATTAGTGAAAAATAAACTTAAAAACTAAAAGCTTTGCACATAATGTTGGTGTAAAAAAACAAAACAGTTCTCTTTTTTAGTTCCAAGTAAAAACACAAATTAGTTGTGGCGTCTGGGCTCAAAAGCAGCTGTTTACACGCAAACTGAAAAACTGAGTTATCATTCAAATTCTTATTATAGTAAGACAAGCCATTATTAAAAGCATTTTCACTGATGACTTTTTTTCGTGTAGTCTCAACATAACACTAATTTCGCCAAAAGAGGACGAAGAAATGTAATCAGCAAAACAGGACAAAGATTTTGCGTTCGGGTCGAGTTTTTTGAAGATACGCAAAGATGGTTTGAATTTCGGCATAAATCATTTGAAAAGACAGTATTAGCCCCAAATGAAACCTGGGTTCAAGGGGCAATAGTCGAGTGTCGGACGCGTGGGTCTGTGTTTATTAACACCCATGGCCAAATGAAATTCCTGTTATTTGGTTTAATTGTAGTAACCACCGCAGTATTGGTAAAGAATTGGTTCATAATTGATGAGAGAAACTGTGGTAAGCCATGCCACAATTCTAAGTGAATATGGGTGAAATTTGTTTCCTTTCTTCACGCCGTTTTTATTTGCGGTAATACTTGTCTTACCTCAGAGCTGACAAGGCGGCAGCTGAGTCTGGTAGTAAACTGAAAAGCGGCAACCGAAAATAACAATTGCTACAAGACAGTAGACCAACAAGATGTGTATCCTATCTTTTCAGAATACAATAAAAACAGCTAGCGACGAACCTATTTCAACCTTTCCCCCCCCCTTGAAGCAAAACTTCAAGTTGTGTCTGAATGTTACCATTCAAACAGATAAACAGCACTTCCATGCATTAGTGTTTGTCTCCCCGATATTTGCGAAAGTATCATTTTCAGTTTTAAGCCAGGGTGCTTTTGGGGGTGAACTGGTTAATAAAGGACGCTAATTATTGAAACTGAATATTACAAATAAATTTAAACAACGAATAACCGGCTTTTGAAAAACTTTCATTGCTTCCTATAGTCGATTCACATGATGATTTTCGATGTTAACATATTTTTCACTAGAAAATTCTGTAAGATCTCAGCTGAAGCCGCGGATTTGAGCGAAAATGAGTTGCGAGTAATTGTTTCTCTTAAATATGTAAATAAAAACATCATCGTGAATTCACGTAAGCATCCAACATTTCTCCACAAGCGACATTTTGTAGTAATAAATATGAATGCTTCCTCTTTTACTATTCCTTTGCGGTTGTTTGTCACAGCCTTGTAAAGTTGACTGTAATTGTGGTAAAAAGAAAACACAACCATGAAATATTAAAAATAACTTCCTTGTTCACTAGCTTCACTGTAAGAGTTTGATCGCAATTTATTCTACTTTTACTTTCTGGCTGACTTGATAAAAAATACTCAGAATTTCTTAAACCTCATGAAGTTTTAGGGAAAGAAAATGATTCAAACAGAGAATACAATCGATGCTTGAACTCCATAATAATGTTTTTTTTCACTAAGCTATTATTAGTCATTCTTGTGACCATACATGTTTGGGGCAGCTGATCCTTTATAGCCAGCCCAGCAGGGTTTTAACACGTTGTAATGTAATTTTGGTGATAGACTGTTTGAAAACGAAAGGCCCCGTATCATTGGCCAGTGTTCGCAAACGCACGTTGCGTGCTGCGTTATTGTGTGTGAAGTCGCGTGAAAAAATACCGCTGGCTTAGTTACCGGCAATAATTTTTTTTTCTGTTAATGTTCATGTGTTTAATACCTTCCTCTGAGACGGGTATTAAAATTTTAACCAATTCCCAATGGATTTCTCCGCAGAACAAACACCGACAGCGACAGAAAACATACAATTAAGAAACATCACGTTTACCACTGGCATGGACGGCAGTCATCGCCGAACGAACTGTGTCAGTGTACAGCCAGGAAATTCGTCCACGAACTCCGATGAAAAGTGCAAGAATCGTAAGAAGAGTGTTACACGCAAAATATCTGCCAGGCTCGACGCGTTTGATCAGACGATACTATCTTTCAGAGAATGCGACGCTGCTAAGAAATTTTTCAAGCGGAAAATAAAGATGTTGTCTACTTGTGCCTGTGCCATGGGACTTCTCTCGGTTGTTCTAGCCCTCGTGGATATAGAACTCACGATCCGAGGAACAGACACCAACGAAAATCTGTCACCAAACGATTTGCCTGCGATTTTTGATAATCCGTTTAGACTTGCAGCTGTGGTAGTGAAGTCCACGCTGTCGGTTTTATCGCTATTGACCTCCATGACAATTTATCGGATAAACGTGAACGAACTCCACTACTTGGTTGTGAGGAATATTTATCACGAATCAGAAAATTTCGTCATGACTTCACTGTTCCCGAGCTGTTTGCTCGAAGTGGCCGTCTGCCTGTTTCATGTTCCTCCCCTGTTAGACTACTATGGCATGCCTTATGAACTTCAGCTTTTGGTGTTTTTAAGATTGTATCTGATCGCCAAGTACACGAAAGAACACAACATGTTTGTGGACAATCAAGCCACGGCATTGTTCGCTTCGGTGACTCAAACAGAGATCTCGTCCATCTTCCTGGTGAAGGCCTATTTTTTGAAGTTTCCTTTCAGACTGATATTTACATTTTACTCACTAAACATTTTCTTGGGAGGATATTTTGTCTACGTTATTGACAGAGCACACAACACGTATTTGGTAAGTATGACTACGTTTTTTTTTAAGTCCATTATTACACAAGACTCTAAGTTTAAATCATTAACGCGCTCTGATCTAAACACAAACTAGGAGATTTACTTAGATGGTCATTTAATCCACCTTCAGCGTTTTCATCGTCTGATCTATATTCTCAGCCAAACGCAGATTTTTGAATCAATAATTAGTTTACTCTTCACGTATTTATTCACCGGTACAGCTGAGTTTTTCTTATCGCACTGAAAGTAGGGTATTTCTTTCTTCAGCAAGAGTTTGTTTTGGAAAAATAATGGTGTCAATTTCAACTATTCGACTCTGGCAACCTTTAAAATTACTCTTATTGAAATTGAGCCTGTTAAATACAGCAGAACTAGTTTACTGAGTAAAGCATTGGTGAAACTTTTTTTTTTTCATTAGGAATCTTCGTGCGGCTTATTGCGCAAGATTTGACTCGCATCAACATTTCGTGTATTTGTATAGCGCAAAATGTTTTATCTGAGTAATCATAAAGCATCTACCACAGCTGGGGCAAAAGTGATTAAAAATTGAATAGCTCTTCATCCACAAACCTCTATTGTAATTCTAATACGTTTTCTTTATGCTGCTCCGAGTTACTTTTCTCTTAAACAAAGCCCCCCTTGCAAATTAACCCTCCCCACAGTTGGAAAAGAAAATTCCAATTTTTTGATCAGTCGACTACTGTTTTCTATGTCGCAAGCTTATCAACCAGTAACACTCCATTTCCCTATCTCTGGAGCGCCTGATAGCGACCTCTTGCCTGAATATGGAATATTACTGACACACACACAACAAACTAGTTCAACGTTTATCTTTCTTTGCTCTGTCTGTCAAAACATATTAACAAAAGAAAATTCCCTCCGGAAATGATGTGGAAAATGCTGTGCTTGTATCTCGAAAGAAACCTCGCTTGACGTGAATTGGAAACAGTTTACGCACACATGTTGAAATTTGTCAACAAACCACACGGAATTTTGCTATCAGAAAATTCCATCGCGGACCTGTACTCGCGACCAGGAAAAGATACTAGAATTTTAATTTAAAAAAATGTTTGGAACGCTTCTCTCTATCGAAAACAAACAACGATGATATCATATATAACTGATTTTCGCCCTCCAACAAAAAAAAAAGCTAATACGGATTTTTTTGTAGTCAGATGCAGAGATAACGTACTTTCAGAGCAAACGCGACCGAATAGGAGCTCTGAGATGGTTAAATTTTCCACTTTCAGGATACCAGAGCACTACATGGCGACACAAACTTTCTAGATTTTTATTACGTTTAAATTTCCCTCTTCTTTGTGTTTTCGTGCTAACAAGAGGGGTCAAGAGGGCTTCAAAAGGTGCATACGCCACATTTGCGATCTATCTTGTGTCCGAGGCGCGATTAAAACATTGTGTGCACTCCTTATCGAAGGCGTTATCATGGCGAGAGCGTATAAAGAGAAAAAAAAAAACATTACTATTTACTGCGCTGTTTTCTGAATTGTGCGAAAAACGGAGTGAAAAGATATTGGTTAACGGCCGAATTTACTCTTTTTGTGTGTTTTAGTTATGCAACTAGAAATCAATAATTAGTCTCATGAACGTGAAAAGAAGCTTAATTGGAATACACATGCCGGTTGTATTGCATGGAGAGATGTAAAGCATTAGAAAACCAATGAAGAGGGTCACTCTAAAAGCTTAATTGTTCGCTAACCTCTTATAACAATACCACGCTCCTGGAGATATTAACGGCTATAGGGTTAGATTCAAAATGGCCCGGAGCTATTGTTTTGGTCGCTGACAAAGCATGGTCTTGGAATATAGTAGTATTTGAGGTAATTGGTTCAAGCTACGCTCATGAAGCAAGAAAACTCGAAAATATTGTCTGTTATGGAAAATTTCCAGAGAACGAAGTTCCTTCGAGCGTCGAAAAACTACGTGGTAAAACGCCCGTAAAACGGAATTTGAAAAATGTTTCTGCTTGCAAGATGAAATTTGTTTCTCAGTTTTGACTTCGGTTCATTAACGCCTAAGGGAAGGAAAAAACTAATCTCCTAGCATTCGGTTGATGATCGTTGATTATTCTGCCTAAATATGTTGTGTTGTGAAACAGTAGGGAACATGCAGTCTCGATCGATAAGACACCATTCTGTTAATTTGACTTCATGACATGCAAATTACCTCCGCAACAAAATATACTGTACAAAAATAACAAAGCTATTTTATTATTTAAACAACGCAAGTCATTTGTTTACCAAAGCTCCGATCTGGTTAATAAGGTCAAGTTTTTCTCTTTCTAAATGAACCCCTCACAGTTAAAATTAAGCGAAGGTCGGTTTTATTCCTTTTACAACCATCAAAACAACCCGGGCGGCACAAAATGAAGCTAATTTCGACTAATTGTCCGGTGATCTCCCGTGGATATTGGCATCCATTAAGCTGACTTAGTTCATCGTGCAGAGGATAGTCAAGAGACCGATAATGACGAGTGTAGTTATTCAGTTATTTAGTTTAGGCCACATTTGTTGCTTTTAAGAAATGTCAACCCGAGAGTTGACTCTTGACCACTCTACTGTTCGTTTTACATAACAGAGACATGAGAATGACTATTTGTGTCAATTTCAATGCACTTTAATCCATTTTTCATTATTTCAACCTGCTCTCTAATCTCTCTCCTTTTAGCACCCGTTTTGACGTTAATGCACATAAACAGATTCTTTCTCAAGATCAAAATGTTCTTTAAAAACGCCAAAAAAGAAAAAAAAAAGAAAAGAAAAACAAGGCAACTTTAAAACGTTTTTTTTGTTGTTGTTGTTTTTTGGGGGATAGCAAAACAGGTTTTGAGCTCTTCTCTTGTTAAAGCCATTAATAATTGCAGGTGCAATACATCCCTATTTCTTCGAACTCTCCAAACAATATTCCCATGAACTGGTAACATTCTTTTATATAGGATAAGTTGTGGCGTATGTGGATTAAGTAATATTGACTAAGAATAGAGAAACGTTTAGCGACTACTACGGACCTATAGTAAAAATTCAAATCAGTATGGATCTTGATGACGCACTTGCAAACACCGATCAGAATCCAATGAATATTATTTGAAATTCATCAGAGCGGTGTCAACACCTGTTAGGTGTTAATACCGTTTTGTTGAACAATTCCCAAATTTTAATTAGTCGACACAACCAGGATAACACAAACAAAACGAGGAATTTAATTGAAATCACAAAAGCTATTTTAGAAACAATTTCAAGCTTATTTCAGCCTGAGAACAAATTCTCTGGACGTTTTGCTAAACTGGAGGAGTTAAAAATGCCAAAAACATACGAAAAGAAAGTTTTACAAGAATGAAGTAAAAGTTTCCACTTGAACATTCATCTGACTCCAACCTGTTTAGTTAAAATGTCTGTCGCGCGAGCATACCTTTTTTCATGTAGCTAGTTGCGCGCGAATGCATTGCAAGAGAATCTCGACCAAAAGCGATCTGGCGAGCGACGCAACTAATGAAATGGAAACAGGTGGTTTGATAAAAATCTGATGTTATGAATCAATTACTAACTGCTTTTGTGAAAACGGCACTGATGAAAAATTACCCTGATGCAGACTGTCGGCAGACCTGCAGAACGGCTGTAGATTTCTTGCAGAACATTGAGCAACCACCTTAATTTGGTGATGATGATCGAGTTCAAAATCCACATTTTGANAATTAGTCGACACAACCAGGATAACACAAACAAAACGAGGAATTTAATTGAAATCACAAAAGCTATTTTAGAAACAATTTCAAGCTTATTTCAGCCTGAGAACAAATTCTCTGGACGTTTGCTAAACTGGAGGGGTTGAAAATGCCAAGAAACATACGAAAAGAAAGTTTTACAAGAATGAAGTAAAAGTTTCCACTTGAACATTCATCTGACTCGAACCTGTTTAGTCAAAATGTTTGTCGCGCGAGCATACCTTTTTTCATGTAGTTGCGCCCGAATGTATTGCAAGAGAATCTCGACCAAGAGCGATCTGGCGAGCGACGCAACTAATGAAATGCAAACAGTTGGTTTGATAAAAATCTGATGTTATGAATCAATTGCTAACTGCTTTTGTGAAAACGGCACTGATGAAAAATTACCCTGATGCAGACTGTCGGCAGAACCGCAGAACAGCTGTAAATTTCTTGCAGAACATTGAGCAACCACCTTAATTTGGTGATGATGATCGAGTTCAAAATCCACATTTTGAAATAAGAAGAATATCGGCTTCATTGTGGACTAAGAGTTAGACTGATACTGGATCTCTGCTAACACTAGACACGTCGGCTGCTTTAGTCTAAAACAGCGGATAATCGACCCAAGTTTCTAATTAATAAATATTTGCCTGTAAATAGAATTTTTATGTCTTCTCTCCCTACATTTTCGTTTCCATAATCATGCTGTATTGGTTTCGTGGTAGGAGCCAATGATAGTCGAGTTAACCTCCCTCTAATGTTGTGTTTAGGTCATGTGTCCAAGCAAACCATGTGCGTGCCATGCGCCTCGATCTATCTCCGGTGAATATAAGTGTTTTTGAACTGCCGCCTCCCCATGCTCCATCCTCTTGTTTATGCATTGTTAGTTAATTTTCATGCGTTTTCATGGCCCTCACCTTTACTGGACAAACAATCGTTAACGAGAAACAATCGTTAATTTTGATGTTTTAATAAGGGTGGCTATGAACCCTTTGCCCATAGCAATATCTGTTGAACTCAACTATTGCCCAGTCAAGTAAACAGAGCTGCTATCTTACATGCTCAGGAGCACTCGCTGTGTCCCCCAATAATGTAAATCCAATCAGTTGTGTTTTGCCTCTCTTTAATTCTACCAACAGGACACCGTGTGGATGCTCGTTGTTACCATGACAACGCTTGGGTTTGGTGACGTTGTTCCAAAGGCAATATTGGCTCGCGCTTTTGTGGGGTTTGCATCGGTGTTGGGAATATTCCTGATGGCACTGTTCATTAGCGTCGTTCACGAAGCACTTCAACTCAAACAGCAAGAAAAAAGGATTCTAGCAACAATGGAAAACGCAGGTAAACTCACCCGCACTGTATAATACATTTGTCTTTGTTTGTAGTATGCACATAGATAACAAATAAATAAATAAATAAATATACATTTATATAGCGC